AGAATCGTGTTCTCCGCTGAATTGATCCGGCCATTCACAACCAACGTGACTGCAGGTGCAAACTATTGTCTTGCAGTCCCCACGAGCGGGGCCTGAGTTCCAATTGATGGGCAGGCTTAGATGATGCACAGAATCGAAATTATTTAATAATACCAAAATATCGAGACGTTTGTGATATGAACGTCAAATGAGTGTCGAAACGCGTTGTGCCATCATACACGTGATCTTATTGATGCATCAAACTTCGATGCCAAACACCAACATACTGTAGTATTTCGTTTAAATCGACAGTCACGCATCACGCACCCCCCTATCGATATCGAAATTTGGCAAGGGTCACGCGTCACGCGGCCCTTTGTCGAACCTCCCGAGCATCACACAGGGCTCAAAATTGCCTGTAAGAACCAAAAAAAGCCAAAATTTTCGTTTCAATGTCGAAAAATTTCGGTGGTGTCACGCCAAATTTTGGCTGCTGTCGAAATGTCAAATTGGTTTTTTGGGTCACGGGTCACACCCAGTGTCGATTTGAACGAAATACTACAGTACTGCAGAGGGTCAGATTGCACCGACGCATGCCAGATCGCCCCCTGAATGTTACCCAAAAAAAATTTGAGCTTATTTCAGTCAAATCATCAAGCAGTATTTGAGCGGTATTGCGCGATGTATCTGATATTATTCTTGTATTCCTCTTACACTCCGTACAAACTTCTCCGCCCTCAATGCCCACCGCTTCCTCCGTAGGCTTAGCCCTTCGTCGGCTTGCGACGCCTGCGGTGAACCAAACGAAATACGGGCCCACTTCCTCCTCCACTGCCCAGCCTGGGATCATCTTCGTCCTCCCCTCCAGTCCGCATCGTATAGCGCAGGGATCCTCGGTGCCGTCGATGTCCGCTCACTCCTCTCGCACCCAAAACTCCTCAAAGCCGTTACGACCTTCACCACCCTCACGGGTAGATTTTTGATTTGCTTTATCGGTTTCTCTTTGCTTACTTCACTTTACATATACCTAATAACCTCATCAACAACCGTACCTGCCCCATATTCGCATATCTCGCACCCCCACATGGCACCATACTCCATCGCCTACAGCTATCTCCCATCCCCAAGTTTCCCCATGTGCAATTTCCTTTTATTTCCCTCTCTCAGATACTTACTTATAAACAACGACCTCCCCAGACACAACTAGTTTACGTACTCTTACCCATCCCAGCGTAGCTAGCGTACTTCCGCGTAGCCATCATGGCCAGGTACGGCAACAAATAGAAATCAACTCAAGTCAAGTCAAGTCTTACACACACAACAGAAGTCATAAACAAGCATCTCATTGCCGACTATCTGAACACAAGTATCCGTTCAATGTGCTCACATATCCCGTGTAAGTATCTTGTTGGGTTCCCGGTGAAACTACTTCGGGAGATGTGAGTATCAGGGAATGCAAAAAAGAGCCAGCCAGTTGTACGAGTTCGGATGCGGGGAATGGAACCCCGGGCCGCCATTGATATATTTGAGATGGGGCCATCGGAAAGATAGCCTGAGGTGTTTCCTACACCACATCCGCTTTGACCTATTCATTCCTTCGTAAGGTTGCGGAGAGAAAGTAAGCGAGGATGAACTGGTATTTTCAGCAATGCATCAGAATGAAGAGACCTATCTGTAAGAAAAGAAAATCGACGCGATCTCAGCTGAATCGAGCGGTTAAAAGAAGGCTTTTCGCGGGTTTCCTTGATAGACTGGACCAGGAGAAAAAGACTGCCCTTGCTACTTCCTAGTCCAGGCACGGGGTCCTATAGCACACCGGATAGAATCTATAGAATCGGTAACATTCTGGTGACTTGCTGGTGACCGGCGGAATCAATGGCAGCCGGATGATCCGCGGATGGCATACGTTACCTTCCGTCACGGGATGCCGGATGATTAGATCGCCTTCTAATCATGCATCACTGCGCTGAAGACAGTTTGCGACCCCCATGAAATTACCCCGATCCCGCACGGAATTCGTCGACAGTCTTCCACTCCCCCACCGAGAAACGGGAGCCATAAAGTGACAGTCGATAAATATTCGGGTGTTAAGCACGGATCCTACCCGACCAGCCGATTCTAAGCCAATTCTAAGGGAATTCTGGTGCACACGATCAGGCCCTAAGTGATTCTGTCGAGCCATTGTCCGGCAAATCATCAATTAGTGTACCGGGCCGGTCAAAATATTGGCGCCCGCTTAAAAAGCGTAGGGAAATTATGAAAAAAAATGCGCGATCGACGCGTCTCGTTGAGTAGCATATGAATCTACAAAATATTGGAAATCTATTGAGCGGATGTGGCGAAATAAAATGTTCATTTTCGGGTCACATGTCTGATCTGATTCCCAGACCTGTCAACCAAACCCCTGTCTCTTATCTATTGTAGGAGACGTCCGAAGACCCAAACAACGTGCTCCAGACCTTTCCGAAGATTTATTCTGGACTATTCTAGGGACTTGTCGGTTTCCGAAACAGTATATATACAGTAGTTATAGACAGAACCAATAACGAACTGTGACCCCCTTTTGACCTGACTTGACTATTCCTCTGTCCCCCGTTCTCGTCTTCTAAAATTATCGTTCCCCACCATGACCACACCACTTCCACGTGGACGCCCTAGCAAGCGTGCAAGACGCAATATGTCTGGCCTCAAGAATGTCTCGGGCCTCAAAGCAAAATGTTCCCCTGTTTGAACACAGGATGCTGCATAGCCCGTCTTCTCAGTCAGCAAGAAGATTTTCTCAACTAACCTTCTATGCTGGAAACTGTGATCACACAGGCCAGACATAAATGGGTAGTAGCCTTCTTCGTCACTTCGTTACTTCGCTTATTTTGACGAAACCTCGTCACTTTGATCGCATTTAGGGAAAGTTCGTTACTTCCGATGATTTTCTGTGAAAGCTCGTCAGGTGAGTACATTCTAATGAAAGCACGTTCGGCCCTTCCCTTCTACCACCACCACGACCATCGCGCCTGCGCAAGGAATCCGCGGGATCGCGGCAACGCGCACCGACATCCAAGACAGAGCTTCCGCTGCCGTGGTGCGTGTATGACACTCCCTTCCGTGCTGCATACCCGACATGGACACAAAACTCGCACCGTGACAAGAGCAGCATCGACATCTCCTTCACTCGGAATCATGCAGGAATAGGGTGGGCGGTCTTTTTTATTCAGCATTCCGGTAAGCAGTTGTTTTGGTATTCCATGGCTTGCGTCCTGCACGGCCCCGGGAAAACGCGGTGTGAGGCGCAGAAGGCTGGAACCGGATGTGTGGACATCGCGCGTGCCAGAGGCCGCGCTTGATACAATTGCTTCTGCGCATCGCATCGCACCGCGTTGCGGCCGGAAACTCCGTCGCGCCGCAGCGGCTTGGCAACGGCGCGCGTCGGGGAGCCGTCTTCTACTCCGCGTAGGAGTGCTTTCTCCTCAGCACCGTCGCTGATTAACGGCTGCCGTAGCATCCACACTAAGTAATCATGATCATGTACTCACACACCTTACATATTTTTGCACCTACATGTATTTCGGAGCTGCAATTGCATATCCATTAGACAGTTGTATTCTCATTGAGAACATGAACTTTATCTAACTCCCCCAGTGGTAGTTTACGGTAGAGTGGTAGGAGGAGGTTCAATGTACATAAAGTGACGAAATTTCAATGGGCTAGCGAGAAGTGACGAGCTTTGGCTGAAATTTTGCTGAACTTACGAACATTCATTGAATGCCATCAAACTGACGAACTTACACGAATTTAACCGAAGTAACGAAGTGACGAGTTTGGCGCGGACTCGACATAAATGTATGTTCCTCCCGAAATTTCATTATGAACATAATCCAATTGAGATGGCAAGCTCTTATCTATTAGAATGATCTATACTGATCGATTTTACAGTATTGGGATCGTGCAAACAGAGACTTTGGGGTGAGCCACCGGTAGCCACCCGGTGGCTCCCGAGGCATGCGGTGCCGAGTGGCTCCACAAATGCTACGCAGGGCAACGTCATCCGGTGGCTCACCCAATGATGTCACTGACTCCACAACTCCACCACGATGTTGATTTCTCCACCGAAATGTTGAAGAGCTATTTCTAATGTCACGATGATAAATTGTACTCCGCCTCCCCCCAAATGGAGTCCTAGAACGTTTCTAAGGACCTGTACCCACAGAAGTGCAGTTTTTCCCTTTCGGATACGGTGGTTTAACTTGGGCATACTGTGTCAATTTTGAACAGTGAGAATAGACATATTTCACAACTATGTAATTGGAATCCAAGTTCAACATGGGAACCTGTACAGTATTTTGGCATTCCTTTACACACCAAGTGTAAATGTGTGATTTTAGCTACAACTGTGAAGAGTGTCTAAAATCTGAGTAGGTAGACCTTTTTTGTACCCTACTCTGGATGTTACAGAATATTCTTGAGAATTTAGGGGTCCTGGGGGTAAGTATATGGGGTGTGTAAAGGAACAAAAGTCGGATTTGCACAAATTTGATCGATTTTGATGACACTTTTTGGCTTCATTCTGGGTCATTTCTTGCGCCTAAAAGGAGCTAGAGTAGCTATATATGGTTGTTCAATAGTGGAAAAGATGTATTTGACCCAGATTTGGCTGGATGCGGCCAAATGCCAGGGTGTGTAAAGGACCGATAGTGTGTAAAGGAACGCCAAAATACTGTATCTGTTCCCATCACATTCAAGTCGGCCTATAGAGGTGAGGTTATAAAACTCGAAACCGGATCTGAGAACCGGATGATAATTGTCTGCGCAGTTGTCTGCTCTAAGTGAGCACATTAGGAACTCACACTCCTGCGGCTGGAAGATGCAAAATTGTGGGAAAGCAGGGCCAAACGCAGAAAATATTCTGCAGCTTGCTTCGGCGGGGGTAGATTTTCATGAAATTTATGCTGGACACCCTCTCAGTGTTCACGCCGTCAATTCGGACATAAGATGTTGAAGTATGGATTTGTTCCTTTCACACTATTGGCAGAATAGCTCAGTTGGTAAGAGCACTGGTGGCGCAATCATCTAGAGGTCCCTGGTTTGATTCCAGGTGCAGCCATTTTTCCAACATGGTAGCAGCAACTCATGAGTTGTAAGACATTAGGCAGAGATTGTCCTCATAAGACCTAATGCATTCTAGAGTGCCTAAGGAAAAATGGTGCCTCCCTTTGTGAGTTCCCAGAGCCAATAGTGCTCAGGTCCCGGGGGAGTGTGGTAGGTAGGTAGGTAGGTAGGTAGGATTACACGGCACGGTCCGAATAACGAACACCGGTTCCAGGAGTTCTCCCGGTGTACAAAACAAGCTAAAATTACACCTTTGCCCCTGGGCCTCCAGACGCCTCCCGAGCCGAGCTCACAGTTACCACAAGCAACCCTACAGCTACCCATGCCCTGTGGTAGAACCCAGTCGACGCCTGTAAGCGATTAGTAGGACACCATTTCGCCAGAAATCAATCCTCATCACTCAACAACGATCTCGTTCCCTGCGGACGGTGAATGGGCATGGAATAGAAAACCTCTAGAACGTCATGCACGTATTTCGATACAAGTACAATTGTGCTGCGTTGATAGATAATAGCTTTTAGAAATGATGTGCTATTCAACTCTATCATTTTCTGCTGCAGAGTCGGAACTGTCTGTAGAAGCTTACCCAGAAATACAGCGCGTATATTTACAACAACAGGACATCCTGTGCAGTCTAGTAACGCATGTTCCGGGGTTTCTACGGCGTTCAAACAAAAACGACAGAGACGGGCCTCACGAGGTACTTTTGGGTGTGCGTGATCAACATAGCGAAGTCTTTCAACGGCAAGCTGATGGGTTGAGAGCATTATAGAAGTAAGAGCTTCTCTGTGCTTCTGAGTCCTCACCATGAATAAATAGTGCCGCAGATAGAGCGTGATCGCCGTTGGAGGTTTATCTTTTTGTGGTTCCCGTCGTCCGTGTAGCAGGTAGAGTTTGTCAGTGCAGTCAACCTCACGCTGTAACCATTTTAATGCCAGATTCTCCACGAGCTTTGCATACTCCTCGATGCTTTTAGGAGTTGCGTTTTCAATCTCGGGAGGTGGACACTCGAATGGCAACCTGGATGCTGCCGTGCATACATCTCCGAACCAAGACTTCTTCTTGCGACGTGCAAGTTCAACAGAACTTTTCAGGCATATGCGCGCAATTATTGGTGCCTTTGGGCTGAGGAGATATTGAAGATACACTAGTAACACCAAATAGCGCCGGACTCGCAGAGGCATGATCCCGGTTTCGGTGAATAGGGGTGCAAGCATCGAGTGGGAGTGTACATTCAAAATTTGCCTGAGAAAATTAACTTGAACTTCGCACAATTCTTTGACATGAATGTCCTCGCTATCGGGAGAAACCTCGCATCCGTGGATGAGATGGCAGTCGACGCGAGCCATGTACAATTGTTTGTATTCCTTTGGGGTCAGGCGGCCAGTTGAATCTTCAAGTCCCATAATTCGATGCGCGCAGTACCGAGCTGTGCTTGCTTTCTCTTTGTAATGTGATTCAAACATATTACGAGTATCAGTGCGAATGTGAACACCCACATACTTCTCGTGGGTGGTAAGGTTAAGGATTGTGCTGCCTAGATGGAACGGAGGAAGCGGCTGCGGTACGGTACCAAAAATCATAATCACTGTCTTGATCATGTTGATTACCATGAAGTTTTTGGAGCACCATACGGATAGTGAGTTCAGTTTGCGCTGCAAGCCAGCAACCGAGAGCGAGATGAGAAGGATGTCATCCGCCTGGGCCATTATGGCAATTCTAACCTCGCAGAGAATAGGGTCGTCCGAGTCCGGATTCATGACCAAGTCCGCCATGAAAAGGTTCCAAAGAACTGGAGAGGCAGGATCGCCGGTAAGTAGGCCAATAAATGCCTTGAATTCGGCAGAGTTCATGTCTCCGTGGCGGACATAATATTCCATGCGGCGGTATAACATGCGCAACCAGTCAAAGATTTTGCCGCCCATACCCATTCGTAACAGCTTGAGCCATAAAGTGGGATGATCAGTTGAGGGAAAGGCGTTGGTAGCATCCACAGCGGCAACATACACAGTAGAGCCGTTGGCGCGAGCCCGTTCCTTGACACAGCGGAGAATAAACGGATTATTGTTTGTTCGGTAACCAGCTCTGAATCCGTTTTGATAGTCCGGTATGTGTCCACGTGCGTTGGCCCATTCAGTGATTCGCAGGTGGATTAGGAGCGTCAAACCTTCAAGACACAGCTTTCTAGTGCAATGATTCTGTAGCTGTCCGGAATCGAGGCGAGCTTCCCCTTTTTCAACAATCCAATTATGGCTGTTCTGAACCATATTCTTGGCCCGTCTTGTGTGCGAACACATTCGTTGCAGAGGAATAGCAGATCATCATTCGGGATTTCGAGTATTTCCGCATAGAGAATTGCGTCTTCTCCCGACCCGCTATCCAGAGAATGTGTTCTGATGTGATCCTTGATCGATGCAATATTGTCCTCTGTCCACGGCGCTGAGAAGAACCCTTCGGGTGTTGTATCTTCAGTTGAATCTGGGATCATTTCCGCGAGAAGAGTGTTCATCGTATGTTCGGCGGCATCAAAAGATCGAGGCATAATTTTTGGAGGGTTCAGTCGTGATTCAAAAACCTCTTTCAGATCATTCGCAGATACGGAAACAGCAATCGGCGCTGGGTCGGAGAGCCGTTTGACTTGCTTCCAGAACACGGCTACGGAAGGGGCTTCCATTATGCTTTTCCGGTTACGTTCTTTGATATCATTTAACCGTTCACGGCCCCTGTGTGCGGCAGGGTAAGGAGTACGGCTGCTTATTGTCTTCTCTTCGCTCGAAGTCAGAGAGTCGTTGGGAATGTTTGCGGATACCTTTGGCACGGGAATGGTAGATGCCGTTACAAACTTATGTTTTTCTTTCAGGTGTTCAGGCTGGGGTACAAGTGTTTCTGCCTCTGGCGACGGTACACGGGGCAGGCTGCATGCAATATCAGCGAGTTTTATAGCCTCTTGTAGGTGGCCATTTTTGCACTCCTTTTTGAGATACAGGAAGTGGATTGGAGCAGTTCGGATAGTTATCCACTGGAATATCAACTTGAGAATGTCACCGTTGGGACATTTCCAACCACATGCTGCATTTCTGGCGGCATAGTAGACAATAGAACGTACGGCGTGCTCAGCTCTTGTCGAAATTTCAAGGGTCTTGGTGATCGACGATGACTTAATGGCATAGAGCAGGGCAATCAGGTCTGCGCGCGCATTGGTTTGATTGCCCCACACGCGCAGAGAGGTGTTTTTTGTGGAGTTGGGTCCAAAATAAATGCCCGCACCAGCGGTGGCTGTATGTTTACCTGCATTTTTGCCCGCTCCATAGATGACAACTTTCAGAGGGAGGGTATCGATAAAAACAGGACCGTAAAGTCGGTTTTTCTTAGTTTCCTCGTCTTTCCCAGCATTTAGGGTTTTTATGAGTAGCTTGTCGAGTTCGGTTTCGTCGGGAAGAGTGATCTCTTCGTGTTTCCGCTTTTTGGGACGTGAAATTGCAGTACAGGAGAGTAAATTGGAGTCCACCTCCATCTGGAGAGAGATAGCAGCGTGGTCGTAGTCGGGAATACGAGGCTCAACAGTGAAAGAGCGAATTTGTGGGAATAGTGAGCGAGAGCAAATGGCATAGTCGATGACAGTGCGTCTAGATCCTTGGAAGGATGTAAAGTCGCCACTGTTCGGGCCAAAGCATGTTGCACCACTAATAAAAACTAGGTCGTAGTCGTTGCATAATTTGAACAAGAAACGGCCGCGGGGCGATACGTGCTTTTCATTATCTTGGGATGCTCGAGGCGGATCGTGAACTGATGGTGTGTCAGAGCGTGTCCGTCCATTCAAGTCACCCATGAGAAGAATCTGAAAGCCACCAGTATACGCCAAAGCCAGAGAGGAAGCGAGTGCGAGACAGGGGTCCCGGTCAAGGTCTCCAGCCCAGTTAGAAGTTTCGGGAAGAAGATACACATTATACGAGATAATGTTGCCTATCTGATGAGCCAAGAAGTCCGGGCCAGAGAGATCCTCGCGCACTCTTGAGGGTACACGAGCAGAGTTAGATATTGTAGCGACACCACCCCATGATTTGCTGAAGTCATGTGGAAGTATGGATTTGTTCCTTTCACACTATCGGCAGAATAGCTCAGTTGATAAGAGCACTGGTGGTGCAATCACCTAGAGGTCCCCAGTTTGATTCCGGGTTCAGCCATTTTTCCAACATAAGATTGGCGGGGCATTTCACTCCCATGCCTCGAAGATGCAAAATTGTGAGAAAGCAGGGCCAAACACATAAAATATTCTCCAACTTGCTTTGGCGGGGGTTAATTTGCCTGAAATTCATGCTGGAAACACTCTCAGTGTTCGTGCCGTCGATTCAGTCAAAAATTTGGGGACCATTCCACTCCTGAGGCTCGAAGATGTAAAATTGTGAGAAAGCAGGGCAAAACGCAGAAAATATTTTGCAACTTGCTTCGGCAGTGGCTAATTTTCATGAAATTTGTGCTGGACACCCTCTCAGTGTTCACGCCGTCGATGCACCCAAAAAAATACTGGGCATTCTATTCCTGCAGCTCGAAGATGCAAAATTGTGGGAAAGCAGAGCCAAACACAGAAAATATTTTGCAGCTTGCTTCGGCGAGGGTTAATTTGCCTGAAATTCATGCTGGAAACAGTCTCAATGTTCGTGCCGTCAAATCATCTAAAACTTCGGGGGCCATTCCACTCCTGCGGCTCGAAGATGCAAAATTGTGAAAAAGCAGGGCCAAATGCAGAAAATATTCTGAGGTATCCCGTCGAGTTGTATATGCGAGGAGACCGACGGCAGAACAATACGCGCTCCAGCACACAGCTAGACGAAGAATTGCCCAAGGCCAGACTGCAAAGCCTTCACGATGTTATGTCTCCAATGACTTCCAGTACGGATATCAGCACTCCACCTCATATTCTGTGTCCCCTTTTTGGACGCACATTCACTCCGGTGTGTCTTTTTAGGTCCTTTTTTGTGCCTATTGAATCAAGTT